AAAATTTGTGTGATTTTCTGTAGCTCGATCTTTCAATTATTTTATTTTATATGGTATTTATGGTCTATTTTTTAATGGGAAATTTTGAGAAGTAGCAATTTTTAAGAGAAATGAGATGAACTTGAAGTTTTACACGTGCCAATTTAAAAAAAAAGTTAACGATGTTTGTATTTTGTTTATGCTAATTCTCTTACATGTAGTTTTTTGCGAAGAAATATTTCATTTATTTTTTAATGTAAATGCCAGTAAAAGTAAATATTATTTTTTAATAATAATGTAAAGTACCCAATATAAATAATTTTGATTTCTAATTTTTCATTTATATTTTCCTTCCATTACACTGCATGCTTAGAAAATTAATAAATGTTTATATTTCATGATTTTAAAGTTTGTTGTTAATATAACAAATTAGCTCTGTAATTATTATTATTTAATAAACCAACGATGCCAAAAAATTTAGAGACTATATTATTTTTAAATAGGATCTAATATAAATAATTTTGACTTCTAATTTGTTGTTTATATTTTGCTACTACGTAAAAAAATGTTTATATTAAATTATTTTAAATTTTGTTGTTAATAGGTATAACAAATTATTACTGTTATTATTATTTTTATTAAACCAGTCTTTATTAAAAACATTAAAAATCATTTTCCTACATCCGAAATATTTTATTATCTAACCTAACCTAACAACAGAATATTAATAAAAAAAATGCAAAATATATAGACATACTATCCGTAACTAACTAAAGCCAAACAATAATATTCTTTGCTAATATCAACTAATACCAATATATGGCAACAGCGCCCTTCATAATGTATTTTCTGTGTAAATACTAGCACCTCAATAAAAAAATAATGTGTCCTTATCTTTATATGACTCCGCAAAAAATCAAAGATGCCGGCTTCTTTCTAGCATTGCCACCGACCGCTGTCGGGTTTCTCGGAAAGAACCTACGTCGCCGGGCGACAACTAAAATCCAGTTAATATTTTATTATAATCGATCCTGACGAATAAATGAATTTCATAAATGAATGAATTTTATAAATGAATGGTTTTTGCTGCCGAATTACTAGAATACAATATTTCAAGGCAGATGACGCATCTATTCGATAATTTTTATTCGAATGGTTTTCAACGAATGTTTTTTTACTAGCTATCGAATTATTCGAATGAATTGCAACTATCGAATGTTTCGATAGTATTCATTCGATAGTTCCCACTACTAGTATTTACTACATTTTTTGTCTCTCGTAAAAAAACACTACAACGCATAGTTTTTGTGAAAAAACATTTTGGACAATTTATTTTTCCAAAGCAGACCTACAAAAAAGGCAGGGAGTTCAAATATTCCATGGATATAGAACAACTACGTTTTTTTTGGATCAAAATAAGTTAATTGCACATAATTTACCTTTATATGAAAGTGCTTCGTTTGTCCGTTAGAGGGCATCAATCAAAAATAAACCCGAACGATAATTAATTTAAATCATTAATGTTTGTAAGCTTGCTATGAAGGTTATTGTTAAATATAATTTGTGATACCTACTATCATTAAAATCGAGTTAAGTCGGCAATAAAATTACTTAAATCATTACATATAAAATTACTACAAACACAAACAACAACTACAAACCCAAAAATATCTTTTACTTAAAATCAAATGACTTAATTCATTAAAATGATTTAAATCAAAAAAAGACAAAAAGTTTTCTATGAGCTTGCAGCTCTGGTTAGGTAAGATATAATACGGATACATTAATAGACATTTTCGAACGCAATCGTCGTTCTAAGGCGTATTTAACGAATGTTCCTGACAAGATCATTATACTAGTGAAATGAAGGTGATTGTCGGTCAGGAATAATCGTAATCACGTTAGAAATCCATTACGCTTGGCTGTCAGATCCACGAGAATAGCTGGGACGTATACGAGAGGCCTACGCGCCTCGTCTAATATTTGTTCCTTGAGAACCACCAACAAGATAGAAATTTTAAGTACTCGGTAACTGCTATTCGTTATAATATGGGTTATTTTGTAGGGGACTTTCAACTATGTTCAACGCGACACTTCGCGAATGTTCTTCTTTAACTGTAGCAATCAAATGAAATTTGGTATTTACATGCCGTTTTACACGTCTGTGAAAACTATTTAAATCTGAAATGCTGACCGAGTTCCAGTGTGTTGAAAATCCTCTTTTTCAGATACAACACATAATACAATCACCGTCTTCTACATTGTTTGTTGTCTACAAACACAGTAGATAGTAGATGGTCCCTTGCTCAAGAGCGTTCTGGAAATTAAAACACAGGGTTTTCTACAATCATGACTTGAGCACAAAAACAAAACGTGCAGTGTACCGAACAATAACTATCCCTCCCCCCTCCATGTATTAGCTATAACTCAGTAATTTTTCGAAAAAACATATTATAGCTTATATCGCTGAAAAGCTTAAACAATGGCGCGTTTTATGAATTCATGGCCAACTATGGTTTCCATTTAAAAAAAATATGTTTGTGTCATGTCAAAAATGACAGGCTTTAGAAAAAAATGGAGAACACATTATCTACAACTTGTATCTGAAAACTTTTTGTCTAAAATAGATTATAATGGAATTAGGCACGGTTTTTAAAATAGCCAAAATTTGTTTTAAGTTGTTTTGTCTAGTAAGCTATGAACTTTTTCAAAAATCATAAAGGCGCATATTTATGACCCCACAAAACTGTAATTCTTTCCCCATTTAACCGACTCTATCTACAGTAGTTTCCGAGATGCCCATAGAGAACATAGAAAACTCACCCTGTATAAAATGACAGCGATCTTCATTTCATCACCATCACCGATGCCGTTTTTTTATAATATTGAGAGGAGGCCATATTTACTTGAAGTTGCAGAAAAACACGATTTCGTTTTTTAGTCCGACATTTAATGGTTTACAGTCGGTAAATATTATTTTAACAAAAATAGTAACGTTAAAATTAAATGATATATACAGATACTCCCGTACTAAGCACAGTATAAATAAGTTTTTTTCCTGTAAACAGCTTGCTTATCGTTTGCATTTTATGCCTTTGATGTTTATTTAGAGCTTTCGTAGAAGTCTAAATATTGGTGCCCGACTCTCTTGACGATTCAATTGAACGAACCGTGTTGTAAGCAATGAATCAATTCTCACGAGTCTTTGAACGAATGAGCCGTAGAAACGAACGATCACATTAGGGTCGGATTCAATTCTCACGACTCTTTTTTACGGCTCATCGTTCAAATTTTATGGATCCGTGCTGACCACGATTCAATTTGAAGGAACCGTGTTGTAAGCAATGAATCAATTCTCACGAGCCTTTCAACGAATGAGCCGCAGAAACGAACGATCACATTATGGTCCGATTCAATTCTCACGACTCTTTTTTACGGCTCATCGTTCAAATTTTATGGATCCATGCTGGCCACGATTCAATTGAACGAACCGTGTTGTAAGCAATGAATCAATTTTCACGTCTCTTTGAATGAATGAGCCGTAGAAACGAACAATCGCATTGTGATCCGATTCAATTCTCACGGCTCTTTTTTACGGCTCATCGTTCATATTTTATGGACCCGTGTTGGCCACGATTCAATTGAAAGAACCGTATTCTAAGCAGTGAATCGAATTTCACGATTCATTTTCAATACTCGTTCAGATGAACGACTCGTTCAATGTTTGCCCACCTCTAATGTAAGCATTACTTTTTCCTACACTTTGGTCTGTGCTTTGGTGGGCAGAAGTCAGAATATTTATAGGACACATGGTACAGAACGGATCATAGGCGGCGTCGGGCGTCCTTTCCGTCGGGCTCGTGCTATCGGGCTCGCAGCAGGCCGCGGGCGAAACAGTCGCCGATCGTGGGAACGCGAACGCAGGTCCGCGACGAACAAAAAAGAAACGGCAACCCGCCCGCCGGCCGCAGCAGCATCTCGCCTTGCCTACTTCCATCTCCGCAATATACGCTCGAAAGTAGGGATGTTCGATTTAAATCGATTCTTCGGAAAATCGATCTTTTGACATGCGATTCCCAATTTTTTGAATCGATTAATCCGAAACCGATTTGGGTGAAGTTTTTTTTACTTGAAGTCACTTATAAAACAACAACAAAACATCCAGTATACCGGATGCGTCTCAAAAGTAGCTTACCCCCTATAACTGTTTTATTTTTTCAGATAAAAAAACGAGATTTGGTATGTTAGTATATGACATAAGTTAGGATTGATTTACATGTTCAATTGTTTTCGGTTACTTCCTGTTTCACCGGAAATAACTACAACTTTTGATTTTAAATAGTACCCTCGGTATATTTTTATTTTATTCGATAGAAAATGACACTCTCTGAATAGAATGACATATCATTATGTCAACTTGTGACATTTTCACTTAAATTTTTTTACAAATAATTTGATTCCGCTCACTTGGTATTTCGAGTCAAATTATTGTCGTTATGAACAGCATATTAAAATTTCAAATAAACCATATGCAAAAATGTTAAAAGTTGACATATGATATGTCATTCTATTCAGAGTGTCATTTTCTATCAAATAAAGCAAAAAAATTCCGATAGTGCCATTTAAAAAACAAAAACTGTAGTTATTTCCGGTAAAACAGGATGTGACCGAAAACAATTGAATACGTCAATCAATTCTAATTTATGTCATACACTAACATACCAAATCTTCCAATTCGGATGAATATTGTTTTTCAATTTATCATTGAAGGCCAGTTTTTCCCTTTTTATCCACTAAATGCCATTTAATTCTGTTTTTTGCCACTCAATCTTCAAAAATAAATAAATTCTCTTTTTCCAACAATTCATATGCATTTTAATTCATATTTTTCGACAATATTATATCAAACTGTAAATCAAACTACTCTCACATTGTTTTTTTTTCGATCGTATAGTAAAGCCAAATATACTCATCTTTTTATAAGGAAAATAATAAAAGAATACTCCCAGATTTCTTCTTACCTTCTCCAAGACGCCGCTGTATGGCTGAATGTTGGGAGGGGCCAGTCTGCTATGGATGGAGACCGCATCTTCGTTGGGTTTGGAGGAGTTTTCCTCCACCGAGCAAACGCTGGGCGAGCCTACTAGCTCGCAAGGTGAGTCGTCGGAAAATAGGGTTTCCGTGCCGCTGTCGGTAGTACACGATGTCATGACTGTCACATTATTGCGGGAAACTGAAACAAGAAAGATAAATATTATTTTAGCTAAAGTGCAAATAATTTTATTTAAAAAAAAGTTTCACTAAAAAAAATAAGAATAAAAATATACCAAATATGTAATATACAGCGTGGTCCGAACTGTATTCCAGAAACTTTGGCAGCCTATTCTGCAGATAAAAATAAGTAAAAAACTTCCTATAAATGTTTGTTCTAAAATGTTTAGTTTCGGAGATACAGTGTGTAGAAGTTTCATTTTTATTTCGATTTTTTCCAAATAATTTCTTAAGTAAAGTCAATATTTGGATGAAAATTGGTGTCTGGGAGTTTTTTGGCATGAGAAATTTGATTTTGATGTCAGTATGACTCCTATTTGTAGAAGGCGTCACCTACATGTGTTTTAACTGTTTTGAAGAGTCATAACTTTTCGTCTGTACCTGTATAAAACTACTGAGTGGAAAAATATGCATTTTCGTGATTTTTTACGTAAAAAATGTCTCTTGATAAAAATCTCTACGAGCAACCGTTCTCAAGATATTTAGAATGGAAATAGTCAATACATGTCATTATTGACAAAAAATAAACATTTTGAGTATTGTTATTTGACTGAAGTTATAAATTTGAGACCTTTTCATTTTTTTAAAATTAATCAGTAGATGGCGCCCTCTACAAGTAGGTGTCATATTGACATCAAAATCCAAATTTTTCATATCAAAAAACTCCCAGACACCAATTTTCATCCAAATATTGACGTTACTTCAGAAATTATTTGAAAAAAAATTAAATAAAAATGAAATTTTTATACCTTGTATCTCCGAAACTAAGCATTTTTGGACATACATTTATAAGAACTTTTTTACTTATTTTTATCTGCAGAATCTGCTGCCGAAGTTTCCGGAATACAGTTCGGACCACCCTGTATATGTAGTCTGTCCAAGGGAAGATTTCGACAAAAACATGACAGAAAATACTAAAATACAATATGCCTGTGAATTAAAATGACAGACATAACTGTCACTGTCAGAGATCCTTTCGTCAGACAGACTATTTTGGACAGTGGTTTACAGTTTATATTAAAGTTTAATATCTATAAAGAATAATTACTAACACTTGTTGATTTCCGATTATAATAGGAACATATGTGTTTTTTAAATCTTTAATGGTCTTCGTGATGTTGTAGGAAAACAGAAATCTTTTATATTTTCCCGCACATTTATATTTCAATAGGGACAATCAGGTACCGTCATTATGTACTTGATGATTAATTGAAGAAATAGTACCATCAAAAGAATTAATAATGGCACTGTTAAACTAAGTATGATTAATTTTCTCTCTACTATTAATTGAGGCTTTTACACGCCGAAAAGTGCTGATAGTGTAGGACGAAAATCATTTCCATAACATTGATTACAATTGGACCTGTTAAACGTTAAGTTGGTTTTGTACACCAACAAAAAGGATATCTTATAGAAATGTGTACTTTTAAGTATAACAAAAACTTTTCAAACTGTACGTGAATTTCTATCATTAGTCTATTGACAACAGAACTGGAGAGTCACATTATCATGTTGATTGAATCCTCTTGCCTTACGAGTGGTGTCATTAGTTTTAGTAACTTTCTTGGTCTTGGTAATGTGGTATTTATTTGGTAATATTTGTAAAATATAAACTGTTTGTTGATACTTTGGTGAACAAGCGCTTCAATTACTTGTTTAAAATATACAGGGTTGTTTACCACATACGACACGGAGTATTGTAGCTTTGGGTTGTTGAAGGACTATGAGAGCTACAATTTAAAAATAATTTTACAAGATACAGAGTGTCCCAAATAAGTAAAAAATATTATAGTGATATTTTTTTAATGGAACACCCTGTATATTATTATATTTTTAGATTCTACGACTGAAATAAAAATAACTTTGATTAAGGTTTATCACACTTAAACCTTACCGTTTTTGAAATATTTTCAATTTTATAAAATGGCAGCAAAAATTTTAAGGCTTCATTTCTCCAAGGGTATCAAAGTTTTTATTACTAAATATTTACTGAAGTTTATTGATTGATCAGATATTATGTTGCAATAATAAACAAAATACTACCTTATACAGAGTGTCTAAAAATTTATATTAAATAATTACTAGCTTTAAACTTGAAGAGATAGATAAAAAATGGTATAATACAATTTAATAGACAATTAGATTTTGCATCTGATTCTCGTCAAATATACAGGGTGGTCCGTTTAAATTAAACAAGTTATTGCCGTTTAAAGTTAGTAATTATTTAATATAAATTTTTAGACACTCTGTATAAGGTATTATTTTGTTTATTATTGCAACACAATATTTGATCAATAAATAAACTTCAGTAAATATTTAGTATTAAAAACTCTAATAGCCTTTGAGAAATAAAGTCTTAAATTTTTTACTTCAATTTCATAATTGAATATATTTCAAAAACGGTAAGGCTTAAGTGTGATAAACCTTAATCAAAGCTACCTTTATTTTAGTCATAGAATCTAAAAATAAAATAATATACAGGGTGTTCCGTTTAAAAAAAATACAACTATAATATTTTTGACTTATTTGAGACACTCTGTATCTTGTAAGAATATTTTTAAATTGTAGCTCTAATAGTCCTTCAACGAACCCAAAACTTACAATTTGTAAAAATCTAATCGTATAGCTACAATACTCCGTGTCGTATGTGGTGAACAACCCTGTACTGAGTGAAATGCTTCTTGAAATTTATGATGACAAGCGCTAGTGGTAGCCACTGTTCGTTTATTCCACTGATCTTGTAAAGATTCTTTATTATGCCTAAAAATAAATTTAAATCGAGATAATACACATAAATCACGATGAATAACTTTGATAGTGACAAGGTACTTTGTGAAAATAGGCTGACCAATCTTTTTTACTGCTCCGAGCCGTGTGTAATCGGTGAATCTGAACGAAGTACGATTAGACTAGGCGAAATAATGAGAAATATCTATAAAAGGCAAGATGTCGAACAAGGTCAGGCGCATTGTATGTACATTTCTCGTAAATTTCATGCCGTCTCGAAGGTCTGCACTCTACTAATAATAACGTAAGCATATTTCTTCTTTCTTTTGCAGCGAATCGAACCAGGTTTTGAGGTGTATTGCGTTGATATACAGTATACAGAGTGGCTCATAATGTAAGTAGGCGATTAACGCAAATTAATAAAATTTGTCGGTTAACAATAAGTTTAATTCGGGCAGTTAAGATTCAAAATGCTTACTATTGTAATAAGCTGAAGAAACACGACAAACTAGTTCCTTCCACCAAAAAGTGAATTTGTCCAAAGAAATACAGGGTGGCGTCCATGTGGCGTCTCTCATACGACGCGTAGGCTCCAAGGAGAACGATAGTTTATATCGAAATGAAAGTTTTGTGCATATGTAGGTTGATTGAAAGCTTTTATAAACATATATAGAGTTATACAGGGTGTCCTAAAAAAAAGTTACACATCAAAGTTGTGTTTTTTGTAATGGAACACCCTATATATTAATTGATTTTCGGATTCTAGAAAAAAAATAAAGGTGAGTTTTGTTAAAGAAACATGTGCCTAAAACGTAAGGATTTTGACATATTTCACATTTTGTAAAAATGAAAAAAGTAAATTTTCAAAAAAGTTACCGTTTTTGAAATACTTTCAATTTTGTGAAATTGCAGTAACAATTTTAAAGCTTTATTTCTCCAAGGGTATCAGAGTTTTTAATACTAAATATTTACTGAAGTTTATTTATTGATCAGTTCTTGTGTTGCAATAATAAAAATTTTACTACCTTGTACAGAGTGTCTAAAATTTTATTTTAAATAATTACTAGCTTTAAACAGCAATAACCTGTTTAATTTAAATGGAACGCCCTGTATATTTTAGGAGAATCAGATGCATAATTTAATTGTCTATCAAATTGTATTATACCACTTTTTACCTATCCCTTCAAGTTTCCGTAGAAAATGCATTTTCTTATAATTTAGACCTCATTTATCAATATACCCATGGAATATTGACCTTTTAGGAGTGTTTTTAAAGCAACAATGTATAAAATGTACAGGCTAGTAATATTATTGTTTTCTAACAAAATGATAATATTACTAGCCCATTTGTATGCAAAAAGAAATCTATTTAAATCTTCATAAAAGAGTACACCATTAATTAAACATACCAGCATTATTTCCGCCCAAAGACTAATTAATTACATACTTAATTATGTTCGTGAATAAATTATTCTAAATAAATGTGGATTTGAATCCGAAATCAATATAATAATAAGTTATAAAAATGAATGTCTCTGTTGTTACAAATAACCATTTGTTAAAAAATAAAATATCATTTTTAAGGTGTTACTTTTTACCACACTGTTTAATACACAAAGAAAATTAAGTTTTTTAGTTTTTGGAGCAATTATTATTAACCAACGCAAACAGTCAATTAATGTAGTTTGAATACTGGAATCATCTTAATTGGTCCTCTTTAACAAATATTTAAACAGTTTTTTTTATTTTTTAATAAAATAAACAAACTATATCGACAATATTAATATCTGTACTCTTTAAAAATTTGGTACATTTTTAAAAATAATCTAAAATGTTTACGTGACAGTAAAATGTCAGTATTCCATGGGTATATTGATAAATGAATTTAAAATTACAAGAAAATGCATTTTCTACGGAAACTTAAAGCTATAGGTAAAAAATGGTCTAATACAATTTGATAGATAATTAAATTGTGCATCTGATTCTCATAAAATATACAGGGTGTTCCATTTAAATTAAACAAGTTATTGCCGTTTAAAGCTAGTCATTATTTAAAATAAAATTTTAGACACTCTGTATAAGGTAGTATAATTTTTATTATTGCAACACAATAACTGATCAATAAATAAACTTCAGTAAATATTTAGTATTAAAAACTTCTATAGCCTTGGAGAAATGAAGCCTTAACATTTTGACTACAATTTCACAAAGTTGAAAATATTTCAAAAACGGTAA